TTCGGTAAGGCAGCTGTTGCGCTGCATTATGGGAGTCGTAGTTTGTGTGTTATCGGTGCTTCATATCGCCGGGCTATAAAAAAAAAAAAGATATATAAAATGATCTCGCGAGCCGGATACAGTTGTACGCCAGGCCGGATGTGGCCCACGGGACTTGAGTTTGACACATGTGTTCTAGAGCCTACAGTGGTGATATCAAATGTTTTGCTCTGTCCAACCAACTATCTATGTGCTATAATGACCGAGAACAAAACGCAGAAAATTCTAACACATGAGAAGCTGAAACAATCAAACATTTTGGCATTTTAGTGATTAATCAAATAGTTGATTAGTTTGCATTTATCCTAATTGTTACAGCTCTAACTACAGCACATTCACTTCACAGAAACAGCAAAACAGATACATTCAGTTCAGTTTATGTACCCACAACGTGTGAATAATTCACCTGCCGAGTTCCACATGCACAATTTTTCATGGATGAGCTCACATCCAATACTTAACAGTGGCTGTGGAATAAGAGGGAAAATAGCTCCCATAAAGTATTAAGTGTGCAGCTGCTCAGAAGAAAATTATTTAATGAAGGTGGCAAAAGTGACTTTCAGAGAACACACAGCCATCCTCTGAGAATATGGAAATACAGTATGAATTCCTGTTTCAAAGACTCAACATAAGAGGACAGCGAACAGGGACATTAAGAAATTAATGACACTTGATTTAAGAAGCATTTGTTACAACATATTGATCTGTTCTCTTGTTGTAATAAATCTTTTCAGTTATGACACACCCCTGCTTCAGATGATTAGCGCTATTTAGAATGAACTTCTGAGCATGTTTACGTCCAGGACTCGACATGCAGATAAGGCTTTCTTTATGTTACAGGGAGGTTTCTCTGTGGTTAGCCAGGAAAAACCACTGCCAGGCAGAAACTCTTTATCAGCATTACTTACAATTTTAAAGAGAAAACAAAAGGGCAACTGTATCTAACCATGAGACTGTCAAAACAGACCAAGAAATAGCATAACAAAGCGTGTACTTCAGCCTCCCCTCCTATAAATGATCTGTTCTACTGCTGCAGGCTTCTCTGAGGCAGCGTAACATGTTGCCACGTTGAAAATTACATCTGTAATGGTGATGAATTTTCTTAACTATCCTCATTTCTAAACACCCTTGGTTTAAAATTGCTGCTGTCTTGCTTGTAATGAAATTCAATCCGGAAATGAAGTTAGATCTGTTCCTTGTTTTGCCATTTAAATTTATTGATGCAACGCGTGCCTCTAAAGATTAAAGTGTCAAAACACCTGCTCGTGGACCATTCTTAGAATTAAAACCACCTTTTTTTTATTAAACACAACCTGATTCCATGTTGTGACATATTGCCACTACACCAGCATTACGTAATGCTAGCAATAGAGCATATTTAATGCCTGCACTTACTGTTCTCTACTCCAGCAAGCATGTACTGTATGCACCCTCGGTGTTGGAGCTGTTTGGTGCTCATCTTGCACCCTCTGCTGTTCATGAAGCAGAAATATCTCGACTATTCAGCCTATTTGTCCATATTTATGTTTAGACTTCTGCTCTCCTCATTTACTACTGACTGTCTAAAAACAAATTATCTACCATATAGTTGTGATATATTCTACTCTTATCCTAATAATATAAAAAAAATAACTAAAAAACTAAATCTAAAAAGCATTGTGAGGCTTGCAACAAAGTATGCACATCAAATATTCTGTTCTGTTATTCAGGAAGCGTTGCAACCTGAACACTACTTACAGTCAAAGGATTGTGCTTCAGCTGTACCTCACTGACAAATAAAGGCCTGTCACAGAGTCTGGAGAACTACTGTGAGGTGCACAGCCTCCATGTTAAATAAGTGACAACAAATAGCAATTTCACATTTTAAAATAGAATGGGAGCACAATAACATACCAGGGTGTGTTCTGTCATTTCATCTCTATGTCAGCTGCTGATAAATGCTTCTTAATACAGAACAAGACATGTCGCCCTCATCTGGGTGTCAGTATGGTGTCTGGTGAGCTCCACTCACCATCAGTCCTGCAGTGGAAATGCTGAATAGCAAGCAGAGTAGAAAACACCACAAGCTCCGCCTCCGGGGATACCTCTGTCCAATGGAG